TTCCACGTACTAGTGGAAAATAAAGTTTTATCCCTCTGGAATCTGACAACTTTCTGACTCTCCATATCCGTAAATACAGAAGAAGTCCACAACACACAACACAGCTTGCTGGATGCTGTAGGAAGAGCAATGAAACTCTGGGGCACTGCATCAACCTCCAGGACAAAGGTTTTTCAGTGTATCTATTGACAAGGCTCAGTTGAGTCAGCCTGCAATATTCCTGGCTTGGTAGGACACAAGGTGGGCTTGGACAGTGGCACATGCTCTCTCGGATGTGTATGTGAACCTGCTTGGGTGTGAATGATTTGCCATCCTGTCTGTGACACTAGAAGCTTCTTTTCAACCTGCTGAAGTGGATCTTTGGAGTATTTCTACTGTATTTTCTGTGTGAGATTTCCCAGAAGGGAAAAAAGTAAATCCACATACGATGACTAGCACGTATGCAGAATGTCTGAAGCTTGTGGAATCATAAGCTCATAGAATCACAAAACAGTTTGGGTTGCGAGGGCCCTTAAAGATCATCTAGTTCCAGCCCCCACTAGGGACACCTCCCACTAGACCAGGTTGCTCAAAGCCCTGTCCAACCTGGCCTTGAACACATCCAGGGATGAGGCATCCACGATCACTCTGGGCAACCTGTTCCAGTGCTTCACCACCCTCATACTGCAGTGCAAAGAGAGGTGACAAGGCATGTACACCGTGGGCCTGCTGGCCAGGGTGTCCCAGGGTGTTGGACCTGCCACACAACCACCACGGGTCCCTCGTGGCTCAGCTCTGCTCACTGAGTGTATTGCTTTTGGGCTTCATATGAATGTGTGAATTATGGATGTAGCTCCAGGGCTGCAGAACTCAACAGCTTTAGGCTTTACTGTGTTCTGTGTTGAGTAGACGTATGTGATGGATACAGCTGGGGAACACATATAACTTGAAATTGAGAAGGGTATATATATTAAGACTAATTAACATGCAAAACTCTATTGATACCAAGACTAAGAAATCAGTAACAGGGAAAGATGCGGTGAATCTGCATTTTCCTTCCTATACAAAACAACACTTTTCTTTTTAGCTTTTATTCTTGTCGGGATTTGATTTTTTTCTGATGTCGTTTTAAAAGCATCTAATGCATTTAGCATTAGGTAGGAAAGTACACTTTTAAGTGTACTTCTTCCGTACACTTTTTTTGTGTACACATTTCTATGTATGCTTTATGCGTACTTTTCTGATATGCTGTCTTTCTGACTGATATGCAGTCTTTCAGACGCTGATGCAAAAGATTTGCAAAGACTTGATATTTTAATAGACCTCCCAAAGCAATTATAAGATTTTCAAAGGGCTGTTCCACATTCACAGTAGTACTTCTCTCCAGAAATGATAAAAATAAAGCATGTCCTGATTCCAGAAAACTTTGATAGCTTTCATGATGTTTCCCTAAAAATATCTATTTCCTCTGTATTACTTAAGAGTGTAACTCCCCCATATGGCTGAGGATACAGCTGCTACAAATAGCTTAAAAATGAGGAAATGGAGACATGATTTCTGTTTCTCTTTGGACTGCTTATTTGCACACTTCGGTATGAACATTACTACACCATGATTGCAGGATCTGGCTGTCTAGTAGGATCTGGCTGTCTATTCTTTGGAGACAGAGTGGATTTCAAAGGAGCATCTTGTTTTTGAGGTTTAGGCACATATTTCTGTCAAAGTGCTAAACTTACCAATGTCATGCAATTAGGCTGGCAATCATTTTCTCATTTCCCCAAGTTAGTGTGAGAATATATATGCACCAGTGATGATCACAGAGATGTGTACAGACCACAGTATTTAAAGGTTTGTATTTATGGGATCAGTGTGTAGATTTCCAGTGGATTTTATTGCTGCATTTGCTGTCTGTGTGACGGTAGATCTTCAGAGCTCTGGGCATGTTTGAAGATATTGCAGGAGTTTATATATGCAATTGTGTGGCCCTAAACTGGACAGCAGATATCCATAAAGAGATATAGAGCATGCTGGTGCCCTACACGATTCCTAAAATCTGAGAAACAGTGATAGGAACAGCGTCGTTATTCATAAAATGAGAATTTTATAGATGGACTTGCTACTTCTGTATTTTAAAAAATGACACAAATCCAAGAGGGATAGGCAGTATCAAAAGTAACAAGAGTAATGGTGATGTGAACTAACACTCATAGAAATCTTTGAGAACAGATCAAAAATTCAAAGCACAGGAAAGCACTCAGGGCTGAAGCCTGACCAAGAGTTTCTGCCAGTTTTACCAAGGCAGGCTGGGGTAACACACCATCACACAGCAGTTCTCAGCGGTAACCTCTTGCAGTCCCCACTGATGAAGAAAGGATACATTTCTAACTTAATCCAGACTGCCACATGGTAAAGCCATCTGGGAGGATATTTTGAAGGAAACAGATGGAAAAGGAAGAGATTCCTCTGAATGTAGTGTAAGATTTACATTATCCTCCATGAACTTCCATGTAGTCCCCATGTTTATATAATTTATCACTATTTCCTTAGACAGCTCAGATTAGGAAGCCTGCATGAGCTCATGTTCTTGTTGTTAATTCTGAGTCTGAACCTCCCTCCTTTAAAGGGAAATTCAGTAGTGTAAAAAGAAAACAGAGAAAGGCAACCAGACTTAAGTGAAACCCAGCAGCATGAAGTCCCTGATCGTCGTTACACTGTTTTACATCCTCCTTCTTTCAGCCTCAGGAAGACACTGTCATGAGCACTTGCTCATAGTGATAATTTTTGTTCTCTGCCATGCACCCACACCCAGCAAAACCACAACGTTGTGCTAGCACAAGTGTGGGAGCGAGGCCTATTAAAACCAGGGAGGGTTAAAGACAAGTCAATGATTTCACTGAGCATGCCTCAGGCCACGGATTAAAAAAAAAAAAAAAATTATCTGTGAATGAAGACATAGCACAGAAATAATTTAAAGAGTGTAATTTCACTAGTTGTATTGTGATGACTGGGGATTTCTACAAAGCCCTCTCTCTCCTTTCATCCATTCTTCTGAGCCTCCTCATTTTCTAAACAAACATTTCCATTACTAACGGGAATGTCAAAGGGCCTCCTTTTCTCTCTCTCTCTCTGTGTCTGACCATGGAGATGCTGCCAAGGCACCATGCAGCAGCGGCTGCATCCGGCTGGCTGCAACACCCCACGGCATCCCCACCGGCACCACTGCTTCGGCAAAGAAAGGAGGGGAAGATCCACGCAAGGAAACCTGGTGCTTCAGTTCAAACGCCTACATTGTTTCGCCATCAATTAAATCTGTCGTTACTTTGTTCTGCTACCAAAAGATGGAGTCCCAGTTCCTTTCTTTGTCCTCCCACACCTCAGCCCAGCCTCAGTCCCAGCCATTTCTCCCTCTCGTGTGCTAGGGCTCGCACTCAATTACTGTTAGAACAAAACTCTCGCAGAAGCATGTGCCCGGGGAGATCAGAGACCTCAGCAGTAGCACATGCGCCACTGGCCACAATGGCCTTTTCCAGGCTGAGCCATCAGCTCTGAGACACCTTCATCCTGCTGACCCCAGCAGGGATGAGCTCTGCTGCGTACCAGAGGAAACCTACGCACGACCAAGCCTCCCACGAGTCTTCGCCTCCCAGACTTGGCCTCCTTTGCACAGCAGGGTTTAAACCTCCCTGTCTCTCAGGTGCTGTAGAGGAGACGGCTGGCTTCGTGCCCACCGGCAGATTTACTACCATGTTGTAGTAGGAATAGCCTGATTGCAGCGGTAACAGTTGAAGGATATAAGTGAGACCAGGGAGAGGAAATATCTTTTATTGGAACAACTTGGTGTGTTTTGAATTGTGTGGTGTAGTCAGAGGGTTAGAGGTGGTAAATCCTCGGGGACTGATGTGTTTCTTGCATAAGCTGGCCTAATAAAAGACATTACCTCTCCTTGCAAAACTTACCTCACTTGAAAATACTACTACATTCATCCTGTATGTTATCTCCACCACTTGGAGACATTAATGTTATTGTCAGTGCCATGGATTCATTGCTGTGACTGTATTGATTTCTTTTGTAGAAATCTGACTCTTGTGCATGCTTTTGAGAGTTACATCATTTCACCCCTTCAACTCACGGCTAGGATGTTTTTTGTTTCTTATGTAACAGCTCCTAATTCAGATTACAGTAGACATTACAATAATGTACACTACACAATAACGTATTAAAACCATAAGGTGGAATAACAAAAGTGTTATTCCCTTCTGAAAGCAGATCTCTTTCCAGAAAAACAATGGACCTTTTACGCTCCTGACTCAGCAATCATTCATATTCACTGAGGTATGGCAGCACAGCCCACGGACTCTGACGAGCAGGGATGGACCTGCTCCTATGCTCACAGGCTTTTCTCTGCTGGTGTGTATGTAACAAAGAGGCAAAGTTATATTTTTGCATTTTTTTAACACAGAGCAGGCTGGGGAACCAAAATGGAGGCAATCGTAAATGCAGTGTTTGACTTGTTTCATGACACCTAGCTTGCACTTTATGCAAGTTATTAAAGAAGAATAACACTATCCAATGGAAGTTCGAATATATTAGTCTTTATGATAGGTCCAGTCTAGTTACCAAGTTCAGCCTATTTTATTTTGTGCATTTAGACTCTCCTTTAAGACCAGTGATGGGAAGGTTTTTATACCTGTGCCCCCTCCTTGCTGTAAGCAAGTGACCCATGTTGAGGACGTACGGAGACACGCTGGACTCACACCAGACATGTCTCTGCGTGTGCCTGCACTATCATCACAGGGTGGCACCTGGAGAAAAAGGATATTTCTGAGGAAGCACCATCAACTACTTCCTCCTCTCATTCCCAAGGGCCACAGCATGAATTGCTCTGGTGCTTGTGCCTAGCAAGCCAACAGCTGTCCTCGACCTCATATGACTGATTTATCTCCTTTCATTCTTTACAGTTTAAATAGTGAAGAATTATTTCATTTAAAGTAGTCTGAAGAATTTAAATAAGGTTTTCTTACCTGAGCAGGCTTCTTTTGAACCACTTGTTGAGGCTGAAATGTAAAACAAAAGCATGGTGAGAAAGAAACTGAGGTAATTTAATTGCGATTTTACAGATGCCAGAAAAAATGTTTTCATCAACAGAAATAAAACACAGGCAAACCCCATATTCAGAAATGGAGAGATGAACATATCCAGCTCTGAGATCCAGCATCTCCTACATCCATCTGTGACCTTGCTTTGAAATAGTTAGATTGCTGTGGATGCAGAGCTGTATAGAATCACAGAATCATAGAATCACAGAATGTTAGGGGTTGGAAGGGACCTCTAGAGATCTAGTCCAACCCCCCTGCCAAAGCAGGATCTATGAAGTTTGTGTAATTAAAAACAAAGTGAAATCTAATTTAGTACGTTATGTCTTTCACCCTTCTAGGGTATTGCTGGATTTTGTTTGCTGCGTTACTTATCAGACTGGGAAAGTGGCCTAATTTTATAACCAGATTGTGTTGCCTCCACTCTCTTTCAGACGTGGAGTGTCCTGCTGCGGAGAAGCCCTCTCTTCTGGCTATGAGCAGGAGCACAGCTCAGGAAGAGCTGAAGGACACATAACCCCACTCCCAAGCCAGGACTTCCCAATTAGCATTCCTGTTAAAGCCGGGAGGCTGGGATGGGTAGCGGCTCCAGCCCTCAGAAGCTCTGGTTTGAGAAGTCTAGCTGCATGAAGGTAATGCTGCGCTGACCCCCACGAGCCTATTGACAAGACTTTGGGGATGCCCATCACCAGGATGTCTGGGTACGTGAGCAGGGAGAGCCAGAGGCAGTGTTCACCTGCTTACACAGGGCCTGGTGGCACCACCACAGGCTCCTCAGCAAGACTCCCTCTTGGCTGCTTCCACCTCAGCATGAGAAACATAGTCTCTGCGCAAGTCAGGAAGCCCACCAAGGTTCGAGTGCCCTTCATCCATGCCCCGGGGGGAAGGAGGAGGAGGAGGAGGAGGAATACTAATTAAGGAACTAACATAGGCATACTTAAAATACATCACCACTGCCCAGGTGATGTGATGATCCTAGTGGGCGGTAGGAGCAGCATAGAACAGTAAGACCACAGATAAAGGATGAAATTCTGACACTAAGAGCACAGAAGGGCTTTTCTTACTTCAGTGGGGTGAAGCTGCCACCTCCCGCCATCAGGACTTTCTGTTTTCAAAGTATATGAATTACACCCAATGGTTTTCTTCCTGCCCTTCCTTCCTGCCTGTTGCTAATCCCAGCCGTGATTTTAGTGCCTCGTTTGGGCAGAAGCCAACATGCTGTCCCTCTGCATGGCCAAAAACCTAATTTTCCTGACAGTGTAGTAGGAAATAACCAGATTATTTCTGAATAAACAGTTTAGTGTATCTGCCCTTTCAAAGCAATATTTCACTAGGAAGGATCAATGAAAATGTAAATTAAATGCAACTGATTCAATTCAGACTGCCCACCACAAGTGTCCAATTTTAACAAGAGATGCTTTGTTTATTTTCAGTTATCTTCTAATTCAGCAGAATCCTACTGCTGTTATATTTTTGTATCTGTGCCTCAGGCTCCAAGTTCTGCTCTCAAATAAATATGAGAAAAAAAAACCCTATGTGATGACTGGGTCTGTCTTTAAACTTCAGGGTGGACCCTTTTCCATTAAATTCCCTTGCAATGGAGAAACTATTACTAAAGCACACATTTTATTGATGCCTTCTCCAGGTGGATTGCAAGCCCTGAACTCATTAATAGACATTTGCTGCCCTCAGACAATGGAATGATTTGTTTCAAAAGAATCCCTTGTAATTACACAACTCATTGAGCTCTTCAGTAATCTGCCACTAGTGCTTTTCCGCTTTATTTTCTTTTTTTGCCTGCTGATTACACCTGTACACATGTTTATTCCCAAATCACATGAAATCTGCAGACATTCTTAGAGGCTGACTGCTTTCTCCTGCTCAGAAATTCTCGTATATTTTTGGCCACGCACTCTGCATTCATGTGACTCTCACACACTGTAGCTCAATGAAATCTTCTGAAAGAGCTGCCAACTCACCAAATTTTCCATGAATTAGGTCCTGACACTTCAATGAGAGGAAAGACAATGTCTGAATCAAGGCCAGCTCTGGCTTTCTGCCTAGTATGTGTCACAGTAATTCTACCAGCTGCCCTTCTACACAGCACTTCATACTTTTCAGACCACCAAAGAGCCCCTTGAATACTTTCAGTGATAGCTGGGGCTCGAGCTGCCAGCCTGTTTTCCCAGCCTCTGGCACCCAGTGGCTCCAGACCGGACCCAGAAAGTTTTTTGTGTCCATTTGTTTTGTTTTGTTGTTATTTTTATGAATGGCTTTCGCAGGGGACTCTGACTCCAGCACAATCCTATCCAGCCATTCATAAAAAGCAGAGGGAAAATACTGTACTTCTCCCAGTTGGAAACTGTCTCTGATACTGACCAAGGCTTTCAAGAATCTTAGTCATTCAAGACCTTTGCTATCGCAGCGCTTCACGTCGAGAGCTCCCTGGCTGTGCTGGCTTACCACTGGCTAGGTTTCCACTGGATTTAGGATCCAGAGTCCAGTGGGTGTTATGCTTTTCTCCCTTAAATGGAAGAGGCACAGCTAGGAAAGCTCAAAAGCAGGGCCCCTTTGGCCAGTATTAATGGCACACACCACTGGCACATCAGGAGCCATGCCCACCTGTGTTACACTGAGGGCTCCAGCTTGTGCTGGCTCAATCACTGCAAGTGCTGGTTTTCAGGGCCATTGCTTTTCCTGCTTCAGCCTGGTTGAGTGGGAGAGCTATCTGGACGAATGCAGGATGGATACATCCAGCAAGAGCCAGTCCTGTGAGGACTGCAGTGTCCACTCACTTAGGTCACCTCAGACCAGACGAACTGAGGCGTAGAGGAATAATGAGAAACTTCCCGAGCACCCCCTTTCGTTACTTTAACTGATGCGGATGTGATGCCTTTGGAAACTTTTTGACACGCTATAGCTACAAACGCCTCCACTCCCTAAGCTTTGTGTTCACCAAGTTAAGAGATCTTTTCAGCGCTTCAAAGGAGACACCTCTGATTCAAAAGAACATTGCAACTGCATGTTCAACTAGCTGGAAAGAAAGAAAATCTGTCTTGGTTATGGAAAAGACTGGAACCATAAAAATACAAGGACAAGAGACTTTAAGGAGGTGCTTTGGAGCAAAATAAAGTTGTACACAAGACACGAGAGCTCTGAACTATTATGTATCCTGCAGAGACAGCAGAGCTTCTGGTCTGTCAGAGGCTCCCTCACTCTGGTCAGTGACCACATGTACGGCGAGATTCATGCAACACAGGACTTTCACGTTTTTATCTCAGGTTTAAAACACAGTTATTGTACACTGCACATCTCTCAGCTGAAATTTTGTACACTTGAAAGCAAAATTCAGGGGTTTTTAAATGATATACAAGTATAAATCAACTTTAACTAGCTTTCTTAAATCTGTATGAGACAGACAGAAAGCGACAGTGTCAGAAATATCCCATGACTATGTAATTTAAATGTCTATCATACAAGAACAAATCCAAAATACAGTAGAATTTCTTTTGCCATGTTTAAAAAATTAAGTATGTGAGCTAAGACAAAATACAATAATTTAAAACTTCAGGATAAGATCCCTAACTTAGAATAGACAAAAAAATAAACTACCTAAAGAAGAAAATACACAAAGGTTTTTTGTGGTTTCATCTTTGCTGTAAGTTTTAGATGTTCAAAACTCAACTGTTTATCTTCTGCAAGACACTTCTTCCACTCTTCCTCTGTCACCACATCCCTCTTCTTATTTTCAAATTCTGTTACTTTACTCATTGCCAGTATCTTAGATGCATCCTTATAGCCTATACAATCATTAGTCAACTTATTTCCCTTCTATAGAAGAATAGAAGAGCAGCCTCGTGCTATGAGTCCATATTCATCTTGTACCAACAGTCAAAAGTTGCATCAAATTTAATTTGTCACACTTCTCATTCACTCACCTTCTTCTTCTTACCCTGTGACTTTTCATAGCACTATGAAAATAAGGTAGGATAAGGGTAAGTCTATGTCAACTAGCATGAGCAATGCTGGAACACATTTTTAATGGTCAGAGAGAAGAGTACTGCTTTGAATGCAAATCATCCCCTGACTGCTGTGCCTGAAGCTCCAAGGGCAAGCTGCACTCTCACAGTGCTCCCAGATTTTGTGTTGACGGTCTTCCTTCTCAAACTTGAGTATTAGGAAGATGTTTGACTAATGCTTCTTAGCAACAGCGACTCTCTGTTTTATTCCCACAGCTTGATACAGACAAGACATTTACACAGAGGTTGCTCTGCTACTGAGACTAAATGACCATGATGAAAACTAATATCCAGTTAGGATGACATTTATAGTGCTGACAGCTCAGTGTTGTGCAGAGATCATCAAAATAATTCTGTAGGTCACCCAAACACTTGCACATCTAAATTAAAAGATGAGTAAAAACTTATTTTTTATTTTTGTCTACACATCTTTGAAAAATCAGGAAGTTCATATTATACTGGTTGAAACCAATATAATCTAAAATAAATCAGGTCTTCCAGGCTGTTCCATACGACAGAAGAGTAACTACCGTTTCGTCCTTCAGCTTTTTAATTGGTTCAAGTTGAGCCTTAGAATCATAGAACCGTTTCTGCTGGAAGAGATCTTCAAGATCATCAAGTCCACCCTTTGTCCTAGCCCTACCAACACTACTAAACCATACCCCTCAGCACAACATCCACCCTTCTCTTAAATACCTCGAGGGATGGCGACTCCACCACCTCCCTGGGCAGCCTGTTCCAATGCCTGACAACCCCTTCATGAAATTCTTCCTAATATCCAACCTGAACCTCCCCTGGTGCAACTTCAGGCCATTTCCCCTTGTTCTTCCTCTCCTTCTTCCAGCACAAGACCAACACAGTGCTGGGGTGAGGGAGGCCTGCAAGACAGCCCTCTCCTCTGGGCAAAACCCACTTTCAGCAGGGATCCAACTCAGACTATGT